GTCAGAATGAAAGGGATAAAAATCATATTGCTGTTTGTGGTGGTTGAAGTGTACCATTGCAGTGAGCTTCCTTGGCGTAAACACAACATCTACGATTCCGCATTAGACGATCAAGGTTGCTCTCAAAGTCAACCAAGCTGCCAGGAATGTCTGTCTAAAGAAGGAAATTGTGAGTGGTGCAGTGATGAATCACTTACAAGCCAGTGTGTGACGCAAGGAAGCAAAACTTGCCCACGCGAATACAGACGGACAGAATGCAGTGCTCAAACAGCTGATAACAGAAAAAGAGGGTCTGTAATGGCATACTATGATCAATCTTTGGATGAACTCAGTGCCGTAAACAATGTTATGGCAGATGACTCGGCAGCCGGGAATAGCAGTGTGGTAACAATGAACGTCACCGCGTTCTGTGGCAGCCAAGGAGGTTGCGAGAACTGTACTGCGAGAGAGTTTTGTGTCTGGTGCCAATCTAAACAAACTTGCCAAGCGTACTACAATTCTTCAACAACAGAGCAGTCTTGCCCCGAAGAGAAAACAGCGTACAAAGGCCAATGTATTTATCCAAGTAAGTTTGAATATGAGGTATCGCCCAGTTAGTAGGTAGATAACTTTCGTGTTACATGCTTGAGAGACTTCCAAAGGAATTCCTCGCCTTTTTTATAGCATAGGCGAAGGAGTATTTCATTCGGTAAGATGGCCTTTTAAGCTTAGAAAAACAGAGTGAAGAATTTTCTAGGAAAGGTAAACGTTTCTTAAAGAAGCTAGCTTAAATTGTACAGTTGCCGCGACATTTCTATTCTCCATTTATGCACGAAAGGTCTCTGATTCTACCTACGTAACAATTATGCAAAAACAAGGAAAGCGCTTTGTGTCGTCAAACCAAAAGGAAAGATCTGCGCATAGCAAAGTTTCTAACGCCTTGGTGTTGTGGGCACTTTGAATACCAAGGGATGTTTTTCGGCAAAGAAAGAACTTGACATGCAATTTAGGTGTTTCTGAATTTTCCCAACCAAGAAACTATGGAGATGAGCTTGAGGCAATGAAACTTGCATAATTAGAATCCTCGTTTAAAACTTGTCCACACATTCGACCATTGCTTCGATAGAAATCAACGCGTTTTTACAGCATCTGTGACAAAACATATTCTGGACATTTCTAGACATCGCCATAACTTGAAAATACTGAACAAGAAGGGTAGCAAGGCTTATAACTTGCTTTTAAGAAAACAAAACCCTTGTAGGTGGTATTTAAATTAATAAATATTCCTTACGCCAGAGGATTAATTACTCTTCAAGTTCGTAAAAACATTTTAATCAGATGTGGCAAGTTTCGAGAAAAACTACCAACCAAAACAGAAAACGTATCGGTAACCCGTTTACTCTAATGAACATACAACTGTATGATTTTATCAAAATTCGACAGAAACCCCAATTCTGACTTAAGGAAATTTGTTATTCACATGCAAATATTTTGAAAGTTTTATCATTATCTCTCAAAATAACACTCAAGCAGTGCTTTTAATAGTCGCCTACTGCTTGAAGAATTGCTCTTCGTGAGTATAATCTCTTCACTGGAGACCTTCAGCCTCCTCAAACTGATTCCATGCATCCAAAATCAAAACACTAAATCTTTGGTCTTCAAGCTCTTCGCAAGATAATTTACCTTACACATTTTTTTCAAATATTCCCCTTGGGAAACTAATTATTTGTGTAATTGGAATGCACCTTGTACCGTCCGTTAAATGCATTGTTTGAAAAATTAGCATGCCCTTTTGAACACATTTTTCATTGAATGAGTACCAGCTGTGAGAAAACTGTTGTACTTTTCGAACATTTCTCTTGCAAGAAGATTACGTATTTAAAGATCTATGTTCTATGCGGGTATTCCCGGACCATTCAAGGCCTTTTAAGTACTTAAGAGTACTTGAAACCGTCAGCTTCCGAAACTCATTACGGCGGCCAATTTACATTATAAACTCAGTTCATTAAAACAGATTCATCTTGTTATACCCCTACCGACGCAGCACAACAGTTTCTTAGAAACATACCCCGTTTATTCATTTCGCAGTATCGAGAGCATTGATCTTTGCTCCTCTGAGCTCCAGGACAGATCAAAATATCTAATTTCCTTTTCCTAATCTCCCCTTGGGAAACTGGTCTTAATGAAAAACATGATTTGCTGAATGCACTTTTGACTTGATCAATTAACTATTAGGATAAACAGTAGTTAGCCTAATTTTGGAGACGGGCCCAGACAGCGCTGTGAATGTTTTTCTGTTTTTCATTATTACAAACAGGGGAAGAATTCCACGAATATAAAGCATACAACTTGTGATAACAAAAGAACAAACGATGTATTTATGAAGGAATGTTCATGATAAAAAGCCTTTTGTTTCTGCCTCTGTTTAATTCTCTTGTTTTCAGAAATGGCATTCCTCGCCTTTCTAGAAAAAGTTCCTTAATTGCACTGCTGAACAAACAAAAAAAAGAGACACAAGATTCTAATAAATTCAATCTAATTGTATTTTACTACACAGGACAACACAAATGGGTTAATATTTTTTCTTCTTTCGAAGATTCAGTCGCAATAAAAAAATAAAAACTTAGTTTTACAGAACCTCGCTACTGCATGAAAAGCTTCTATTGAAATCACACTGGTGGCGGTAAGAAATAAAGATGGATCGAGAAGGGCTTGGGAAAGAGAGAAAGAGGAACATAAGATGTCGCTGTTCCGTGGGAACAAGCCCAAAATAAACATTAAGTGTGCTTATTTCAAAAGGAAGGGAGTAGAAGAACAAAGCTAGGTGCGATTTGTGTAAAGACAAAAAAAAAACCACAAAAACAAAAAACTCACATACAAAAGCTACAAAACCGCAGGACAAAAATTAAAAATAAAAAAAAATTCATAGAGATCAAGTCAGAGAGAAAATGCGAAAAGGAAAAAAAAGGAAAAAGGCTGCATATTAGATATGAAGATCTTTAACCCATGAACTTCCGTAAGAGATTGACCTGTAACTTCTCCCTAAAATATCCATACATTATCTAGTATACAGGTAAAGAGAATACTCAAATTTATCAGGTAGAAGTCATTATCTTGATCTAACACAAAATTCTTGTAACCGTTTTACAAGGAAATAGGTAGAAGCTAGTGGGGAGAATTAACAATCAGATCTTGGAATTTAAAGGCTCTAAGGGAAGAGGAGTAAGCAAATTTTATATTTTTTTCCTTTTCAGTTGGAGTGATTCCCTGCCACGAACGGAAACGATCATGTAAAAAGTGTCTTCATCAAGACGCCATGTGCTACTGGTGCTCATCGACGGAAAAATGTGCACGGTTCCCGTCGGTTAATTTCGAACCAGACGATTGTCCCAAAGAAGATTGGCATCACAAGAAATGCCCGATGGCAAATGATCTGTTGTGGGTTCTCCTTCCTATATTAGCCATAATTCTCATCCCGATCATTGTTTATCTCATAATTTGGTTGATATGTTGCTGTATGCGGGCAGCCGGATACGAGCCCCTGGAACCTACGGAACCGTCCAAGAAGAAACACCCTAAGGGTATCCGACTGAAACCCGGGTCCCCCTCCAACAAGACAGACGAACTAAGAAGGAAATATGATCTCAATAATCCATAAATCACCATTTTAGTGCTTTACACCCTGACATCAGTATCAATGTTCTCCATACTGTTTTTAACACATTTCATTTTCTACCGACAAGGAAGATTCATTTAATAATCAAAGTCTCTTAGGTTGGTGATCACTTTCTTTATTCTTATGAGCCTACTAGATGATTCAGCATTGTAAGGAGAAATTAGATGCTGGTCACTCTTAGGTTTACCACAGCTCATTGTGACGCAAAAAGCACAACTATCAAACTCAACCATATCGTATAAATCGTGAGTAAGTAGGGGCTTTATTTACTGAGGGTTACATTTTACAGTGGTAAAAACACTGATTTTCTCGCGGCCCTATGACTACTACCCAATTCACACCGGCAGAACATGTCTTTTTAAACTGGTTTTACCACTTATTGCCTCGTGACCAATCAGAACCAGATAACCGCAGCGAAACATAGAGGTCAAGGAACTAAATCAAGCACTAAGAAAAACCCATTGCGAATGAGTGCTGGAGTTTGATAGTTCATCTCAGACACTTGCATATCTGCTCTATACTTAGTATGTATTTATAATAACAACGTACTTCTGCAATCGTATAATCATAGTAAAGATTTAAATTTAGCGAGAAAAAGAAAGAAGGCAACTATTTTTATTTCGTTTCATTGAATCCATGTCTCGTACGAGCTGAATCCCTGTTCTACGAAATTTCGCACTATTTAAATTTTCCTTTCTCTACGAAGGGAGAGAAGCGTTATGCTTCATGGAGCCTTTGTGTAAAGATTTCTAACATTTAAATGGTAAACACGAAAAAAACACCGTCAAAGTTCAACCAGTCGACACGTAAACGTGGAGGAAAACATGTGACGGAGCAGTGGAATTTCCCTTTGCAATAGTCAAGTTTATCACAGCTGTCATGAATTCTCTATGAATTTTCCTGCGTATAATAACATGGACGTGAAAATCACAAACAGCCCAGACCAGACTGAATTTTTTGTAATTAAAATGGATTTTGGTGATATGTGTCTCTTGAGTAATTAGTTTTAAAAATAATTTCGGTAGCGTCAATTGGCAGCGAGATAGAGACACGTTATTACTTATGAAAGGTTAAAACTAGTGAATAAGGATGAGCAAATAGACATAGAGGAAAAATTGTAAAGTGGTAGATTAAGGAAAATGATAAGTACTTATTGACCTGGAGGGAGGGCCGGACAAGAAAATATTTGGCTCGATGTTGGGAAGTACAGACAACACAGCGTAGTGTTGAACTCTGGGTATTATTTGAACCTTTATGTCATCGGAATGTTAACGTACGGAAAAACCAAGAGGAATGACCCTCAAAATGACGAGCTACAGAAAATGATTGGTATTGAAGCCCAATGTAAATCAATGGAACCATGTCCTTTATTCACTTCTGTAGTACACAACTTTTCATAAACTCACCATTACTTCCTGCTAAACTGCCAATACATTAAATTATGAAGATTATTCTTATCTTGACTTATTATTAACATCTCACATTTAAGTCCACTGTTTTAAGCCATGCTCCATTTTTTGTAAACAATGAAGAAACGAATAGATGACATGTTCCCACGATTGATCCAATCCTGATTCTACTCCTTCCGTATCGCAGTTTGGAATACAAACTATCAAAAAATATAGAAAAGATATTAAAAAGAAAAGAGAAAAAAATCAAATCAACAAATGTAATCCACATAAAACCTCAAAATGTCTTCTCTTGTCAACTAGACGCAATTACCAGCCACTGTTTGAAAAATGATCGCGCACTCCTCCCTCGGAAAGTAGATGGGGGCGGATAAAAGTGCAAACCCTTGGAAAAAGCAAAAATTCGAGCCTATTTGTCCACTTGAGCAACATATTGGGACTTTGAAAGTAATCCTATGTTACATTCAGTGATTGGTCTAGAGGGTTTGCGCCAAATTCTCAACCAATCAGATTTAAAACTAAAGCCAATCGCGACTTGGTCACCCGCGTTTTCCCGCGCTATTTGCACTCTACTCGTTTTTTACTTCGACTTCACATTGGCTCATGATGATTGTTCTGATTGGCCGTTGTGATAGCTCGCGTGCTTCACCACACCCAGACTCATTTTATCCCATCACATACCTACAATGCACTCAGAATGCTGTTAGCCAGACTGCAACTCAGTCCAGTACCATCAGGCTCTACGTTGAGCGCTGTCACCAGTCCATCTTCGATCACCATCACATATCTCTTTGACCGTACATTTCCAAGAAATGGCCTCGCGTCAAGCTCCATATCAACAGCCTACAGTAATTGAAGGGATGAAGGGAATAAGACGAGATATGTGTAGTTTTGTAAGTATTCTTTCTTTATTGGTAAATTTAAACTTCAGAGTGGAAAATGTCCCAGCCTAGCTATTAGCGCGCTGAACTTTGGAGCTAGAGATCTGGGAGCGAGCCCTGGTTGACTCATTGTGTCGAGTTCCTGGGTAAGGCACCTTACTCCCACAAAGCCTCTCTTCACGAAGAGTACCTGTATAAATGGGAACCGGAAACAGTCCGGAAACTGAATAAAAATGCTCAACGCAGTTTATACCAACTTAGTGTTGATTTAAGGGGTCCAGAAAAATTGTCATTTCATTGTTAGACCGAGTTAATTCTTGAAATTGCGAGGCGAGGCTGGCTCTGATTCTTGTGCCGCGGAAGACTTTTTATGTATTTCGCAATAAACCACAACACTGAATTTGAAAATGCCGCAAAAGTAGCATGTACGAAAGCTCAAAGATCAAAAGTCATTTATCTGTCAAAGTAATCTTTCAAAATGGGTTTCCACACGAGGTTTTATTTCTTCAACCAGTTTAAGATCACTCTCACCCTTTTAAAACTTGGAAGTTACATTGATGTAAAAGTTACTAACTTCCGAAGAAAGAACATGAAAATAAACCAAAACAAAAAATCTAACAAAGAACTGATAACTTCCATTTCGGTGAAGGCCAAAACACCTACGAATGAGGCCACCTGCTGTTGCTATTTCCATATCCAGAATCTTGTTTTCAAAAAAGTTGGCCTTAAAATGCTTAAAATCATAGTCAAAAAGACATTCAAATCAGTCGTTTTGAACACATAAATACGGTTACATTGCCAAATAAATCGAGAATTTCGTTTCTACTTTTAAGATCCTCTTCTGTGCACAATTCATCCACCTTCCGGCGATTAAAAAAATTCACGCAAAACATAGCGATGTATTATAATCTAAAAAACAGTTCAACCTTTCACCAGCGCTATCTACTCCCGCCTAATAATAAGCCTATTTTTTCTGTCAGGTCTCAAAATTTGGTTTTAAATCAAGGCCATATCAGCTAGTTCATCATTACCTCAACTCTCATAATCTGAGCGAGAGATATTGGTTTCCCGATCAGTACGCCCTGCCTTTGAACTTATTCGCATTAACACGTCACAAGTGTAGTTGTGTTAATGACACAAATATTTTCAAGGTTGTTCACTCTCAGACTTGTGGATAGGGAATTTCGCTGGTAGAGTATTCAAGTATGTAATCATTTTAAGTCCCGGGTAAAGACAACTGAACTGCGTTTGTGATAAGTTCCTATATTCAGAATTTAAGACGTCTACACGTTTAGGTGAGCGACTTGTTTAACGAAACTACTTTTCATCCCGGACCAAGCCTCTGGCGGCTTCCCGCTGATCGCTGTAGCGTACATAAAACCGACACCTTCGCAGGCTAAAAATACAACTTTTCATAGAAGGTGGAAACGACTTTATTCAAATGCGCCTCTCATGTCTACCTGAAATAAATTTGTGTTCGGCTTTTTTTATGATATTCAAAGAAAACCTACAATATAGTTTCACAAATCAAAAAGTTGAAATTCAGATAAAGTTCAAAAGAAAATGAAGACAATTTTTGATTTCTTTTTTCTATCTGTTCTGAAAAAAAAAGTTAATTCCAAGAGACACGAAAACCGTCTGTCGTTGGATATTTAGAATTATTTCGTATCTTTATTTTATGTCAGTCCTTTCAGTTACTCTCATTTGTATTAATAAACGGCAATAACTCCAACATCTATGAGAAATATTGAAAAAAGCGGAATTATTAAACTCAAATTCTTTTCCACGGCTATCTGATTCGCCATTTTCAGAGTCCTGCCTTATGCGGTTCATATAATACTTCACAATCTAGTTTCAAAATTGTTTTAGCACAGTCGTATGGATCAGTTTAGCTTTATTCTTGTTTGACCACCTTTTAACGGGCAAACTAAACGCGGGTTCAGTTCGTCAAACGGAAAGGTTCAGGTATCAAGATGAACGACACTTGAAGACCGATCGTACGATAAACGAACATTAAATGTTTTCCCAGAAAAGGTGCGCAGTATGCCCACGATAGCATGTCGAATATGTCTCATCTTCCAGCAGTAAATTAAAGGGTTAAGAGACGAGTTCAGAAAAATTAGAGTTAGTGAGAAAAGATGAAAACCCTTCAATGTAACGGAAGGACCGTTGAATTGAATAATGGAGACGCAAATGACGTACGGCAAACAACAAATTAGAAAAGCAACATACACATAGAATATAGCGATTGCAGATTTTATACGACTAGCTGTTTGTGTTATTTCGCCACGCGGTCCTCTCTGTACTTGCAAGGACTGGATCTGAGTTTTATGTCGTCTCACGACGAAATAAAGCTTGATGTAAACTCCTGTGATCACGACAAGACCAAGAAGAATACCGATGTACTGGATTACGGGCTGAATAAAACGCACACCACTTAATCTTATAAAAGAAGCAAATGCACTGAACACCCATATTGAGGTCACCACGGCAACAATACGCTTGTGCGTCACAAGTTGCTGGTATCTGAGATGAAGATAAACAGCTAAGAACCTGTCCACAGTTACAGCCATCACACCCAGGAACGAAGCTTGAAAAATTAAAAAACCAATGATAAGAAACACTCGGCAAGTGTAGCAGCTGATGCTGCCTTGTTGTAGCCAGTTGACTAGTAGTGAAGAGTAAAACGGTTGAACAACCAAACCAACACCAACATCAGAGACAGAAAGACTCACAAGCAAAGTTTTTGTTGTCTTCGGCAATGGCGAAGTTTTCCGTATTGCATATATCGTCAGAATGTTCAACATCACCGCGGTATAGTTCAGAAAAATGTTCAAAACACAGTTAGCAATGTAACTTAAGCGAAGTTCTTCATATTCGGAGATTAAAGGAAAGAACCGCAGCAATTTTTCACATGACATGTTTAAATATAAAAAACAACACAGCGCGATCAAGATCTTATCTAGCAAATCGTTCTTTCAATTAACTCGTCGACACAGAGCACAGGACGCCCGCTACTCTTTATAACATCTCCCATCAATCAGTAGCATACGCTTGCCGTTCTCAGATCTAAATACTGAGAGACCAAGGAAAGAGACCACGGTTAAATATACGATAAGTTTTAAAGCTGGGACTGTCAAGATGTAACCAGCTAGCCAAGATTGAAGAGTGAAATGCTTCAACAAAGAAGCGACATAATCATCACAACTGAAAGACTCCGCAGAAGTTCTCTTGCCATTTTTCGGTTGGCATGAACGATGCTTTCTGTATCGCGCATCAGCTCTCTAAGCTGCGACAATTTTTGTGACTAAATACGCAAAGAGAGTCGCATGTTTGGCGAAATGTGTTCAGCAGTATGAAAAAGCATTAACGTTTTGAATACTACCTTTCATAGTCTATAGTTTTTTAAGGCAAGGCAAACATTTTAAGATATGAAATGTTAATATTTGTCTCATACCATTCATTACTCTTACTTCATATTTATATAAATATAATTTGAAAACATACATGACATATAAATACCTTTTGTTTTCTCATCAAAGAGAGACACTTTTTCGATGAGAAAACAAAAGATGTTTATATTTAATAAATTTTTTTCAAATTGCAACGGAAGGAAATCTTAAGAACTCGGACAAAAAACCCTTTGAGCAAAGGACGAGAACCAACACCACACTCAACCCACATGTGACACCAGGTCTGGGAATAGAACCCAGGCCACAGCGGTGGGAGACAATCACACCCTCCCCTCCCCTTCTCATATTTGCTGTTGATGGTCGATCAACTTTTCCGAATCCTTCCATATGACCTTTGACCCTAAGCCTGTTCTTGAACTTTACAACGAAGCAAAGAATAGAATAAAAAGAAGAAAGACCCTTCGAAAACAGAATCCAAAAGAACTTTTTTAAGTGGTTTGACTAAAGAAAAATAAAAACGCACCTTTGTGAATTCACCTTGTGTGTCAGCCAACATGCGGATCTGGAAACAAAAAAACACCCAACTTTCGAATTACATATAAACAATGACATGCAAAAATGTATGGGCACTGGTTCGCCTGAAGATAAACGATACAGGGAAACCAATCTGTCCCACCATTAATTAAACTATCACAAATATTTTCATGAGGAAAACCCACCGGAGAACCAAGATCTCCAAGTAATGGAAATCGCGGGAGGTAAGGACGCCCCCTGGTCCGCTGAGTGAGTCCAAAGGGACCGTATAATGGGGGGTCCAGTGGGGGAGTTCAAAGGATGGGTACAGTGGGGGGGTCCACTGAGTGAGTCCAAAGGGAGGGTACAGTGGGGGGGCCCACTGGGTGGGTGCAAAGGAAGGGTATAGTGAGGGGGGTCCATCAGGAGAGTCCAAAGGGAAGGTACGGGGGGGGGGGGTCCACTTAAGGTGAGTCCATAAGCGTATAAAGGCTTCAAAGTTAAAAAAAAAATTCTGTGTTTGGTCCCCTCTCAAAAATACCTGGATCTTCCCTTGTAGCACACTGATGTTGGTGTAAATTTTGGTCTTAAGAATGACAAAGGGGTGGGGAAGCCCCCTTTGTCCCCCAACAGGGTTCTTCTTGTCTGGCAAACCAGACTAAACAGGCATTAACTAAGTTCTATATTGACAACACCTCACAAGTACTGGTTACAGTGCATTCACTAATACCGTACTGTACATGTACCTTGCCATCACATTTGTGTGCCTCTCCCCAAGCTGCCATTACAAATGGATCATTAACTGAGATACAGGCAACAATATCCACTCCTTTTTCCTAGAAGATAACAGACTTCTTAGACTCAGAAACATCACATAAAAATTCCTTTACAAGAAAGAAGAACCCTTTAAAATTTCCTTGGTTCCTAACCTGTGTCTCTGTATCTCAGCTGGTAATAGTGTCTAGTCTCTAAAAGGCATGGGTTCAAATCCCATCGAAGCCTGAATTTTTTCAGACTTCTTTTCTGAAATAGCTAACATTGCAGTTTGTCTGTGAGGATCATTTCTTTGTTTGACTTAAACTTCATGTTGTGTGGTAAAACATTATATGCAATGGCTCTATGTACAAAAAATTGGTTTGTCAATTTCACATTACTGCAACAAGGGATATCAAAAGAAAAAAATTACAAGTCAAAAAAAATATCCCATATACCACTAAGAGTTTATTTGTTTTGGTACACCAATATTTATTTAATAATTTACTTCGTAACCTAAAATAGTTATACACTGTTCCAGAGAGCAACATTGTGCAGGTGGCAAATTGAAGTGGCTTGTGGCAAGTTTGTAGGGGATTGTAAATTCACATTTTCATCAGGACCCATTTTTCTTTTTTCAAAGTATGTGTGTCTATTTCAGTTTACAGAGAAACTAATCAAAAGAAAAAATTTTTGCTTACATTTGCTAGGGGCTCAATCTTAATACCAGACTCAGACTACATTCTTGGTAAACGATGGAAGTTAAAATGTATATCTCATCTCAATTTTTAAGTTTTAGTTGCATCAACTATTACAAAATTACTTAGATTCATAGACCCACAATTTAAGCAAAGTTGGACTGGAAACAAAATATTAGCTGTTTTAAATGCAATCATCATGGCTACCATATCATACTTTCCACCTTACCTTAAATTTTTCAAAATCTTCAACATATCCTGGAAGATGAGTCTGAGCATTTAAAAAAAAAAAAGTCCATTACTATAATAAATAGTTTCTTCTTTAGGCACAACCTTTCAATAACTATCAGTAAGATTTGTCACTTTTAACCAGCAAGAATGACTAACTTAAAATTCCTCCTTACCAAATCACTCCTGAATCAACCATTGGGGTCACAGGAATAAGGAAAATGATCACCAAGTAAAGAGGTTCATGATTGTTAATCAATTTCTCACTGTCAGCACCTTTCTGTCAACATCCCGCCCACATTTTTACACCAGTATGATGTTTTCACCTCATTTTTCTGTCACAAATCACTGCACATAACATTCCACACAAACCTTAGAGCAACCTGGAGTAAAGGCACCTGGTACAGCAAATAGCACCCCTTTTTTTCCTGAGAACAAAGTGGCCACATTGACTTTGTCTTTAGGAGTTCCCTCCATGACTTGAACAGAAGGAAGCTTGTCACCAATCTGCAGTGTAGGTACACCAAATAAAAGTAAGTCCCAATATCACATAACAGCATGGTAGCATTCTGAGTTAAATCATAACCATTCCAATTTCCTCAAATGTGATTGGTGCATCACCTGCTCTGTTTTTTTCATTAACTGTTCTGTGAAGTTGTAATTGCATAGTGTAATAAGATAGTTGGCTGTAATCAGACAACTGCAACCAGAGAGTTAAAGCAGCCAATTCTACTACATTCAATGAGCTGAATCCACCAATCCCAGAATTGACTACATTAACCATAGCAACAACCACTTGCCTTTTAAAACTGAAAAATTTCCAAAATAGAAGATTTTTTTTACTGCTGATAATTGATAATTGATATTGGAAGCCCTTACTCAAGTAAATATTTCTTTTTCAGACATTGTAATAGTTATGATTAACTGGTAACAGGACTTCACGTCATCCAATTTGGTATGTAATCATACTTGCCATTGACAAATTTAGACTCCACTGGGTCCTATTACCATTAAATACCATATTCTCCTTGTCAGTCCCGTAGGAAATGTATAGAGAACAGTGTAGAGAATATAAATATTGATATTAAGGTATAGAGGGTTAAGAATATGCTTGCACTGCACATGCCCTTCTCTCCAAAGTTTCCTGACAACAAGTAAATCTTACAGTCTCTACTAGAGTTTTCTAAGTCTCCCCAATAGAGGTAAATTTAGATATATTAATTTTTTTCTCTGAAGAGGGGAAATCTAGTAAATTTGAGGTTACCTTGGCAAAGATGGATGCATTTTAATTTTTTTTTTTAATTAGGTGCATCAATTTTTGTCAACAATGCTTTTTATCTTGGGGAGAGATTAGGATAATAAGTTTATAATGGGAACAATATTTTCTGAGAGAGGGGGGGGGATTTCTCTCTGAAAAATTTCCAGTGTTTAGATATCAAGAGGTTGACACTTAAACATGAGGGTTAGATGTTGTGAGATGATTACCAAGAACATTTAAACAGATTTCCTAGAGCCTCCTTGCTCATCAAAATACAGCTTGTGTTTCCTCCATGCAATCATCATTATGTACCCCCTGCCCCCCCCACCCTGCATTTGATGACTATGTAATTGGAACGTGCAAGGCTAACATGTAAATTTTTGTTCTGTTTTGTTTTATTTTTTGTTTGTTTATTTGTTTGTTTGTTCTTCTCTGATATTCCTTTAATACAAACAAACTGATATAAATGCAACACACATGGGAATATTCATCAGATGAACTTGAATGCACACGTTGTTGGGCTTAACTTGAAGAGCCTTAATCTTATTCATGCGATGTTTTAATGTGAAAATTTCATCAAGTCTGTAGACATAAACTCCTATATTCAAAGTCCAAACTCAAGATGATTTTTCTCCTGGGAATTGCATAATTTATTAATAAGCTGCAGTTGTTCACATTGATTATATTTTAAAATTATGATTTAAAAATGCTTAGTCATACACGAACCACGAGTTGGTAATAAGGAAAGTTGATATGGCGCGCTCATGCTTTACGCAAACATAACTCTTTGCTTATCTCAAGCAAAGCGCAGCTCGGTCGCTAAATTTTTAACTACAATTTTAATTGACAAGGACAGCCCAGGAAAAATACTCCAAAAGTGACAAGAGACGTAATTGCCTGTCATTTCCCAGCAGTTAACGTGCTGGTTTTAATGAAATAGCGAAGCTTTGAAATACAAGCACATTATCCAGTACCAGGGAGGTAGATCTAGCGATAGACATTAAACCTACTACAAACTGTGGGAAAGAAAAAATACTTTTACCTTGATCGGCATTGCTGCAAACGCAGAAGAACGAAATCCACGCAAAAATACAGACGCGATTCCACTTAATTGACCGACGGAGCGCTGCATGGCTTGGGGATGACTTCCTTTGCAGCTGCTGTAACTCTGACGAAAGTCTTCGGAGAATCTTCGTTGTTCGAGGTTTCTTCGGAAAATATTGAGCCAGCGATTGAACCTGGCACAGAAATAAGAAATGAAAGATGGCGGATATTGCAGAAAAGCCGGATTTTGAAGAGCTTTGCATAAAATGCGAACAAATGGAACTCGACGTAAGTACAGTGGAAATATATTTTTTCAAAATTGTAAAATTTCCTCAAATTCTTTTGATATTCCCATTTTTTGTGAGTTTTGGACCACAGTTACTAGCATTTTGCACTTGTCCTATCTACCAAACTTGTGAAGTAGCAGATAATGATTTAAACTTTTTGCCGATTTTGTGCTAACATATTGTTATTTATCCCTAGGGTTCTGCTTCAGGGGAAGTTTATACACAGCTGTTAGCGGTTTATCTGTTTCAAAATGATATGTAAGTTTTAATTTTCTGTAAACCTAACATTTGACAATGAGCCTGCAATGTTTAGGACTAAGGCAAGCCATGATGCGTCACGATCGATCAATTTGAATCTTCAACATCCCCTCCTCAGGCAGCCCCTCAGGCATGTGAAATTTAGATTTGTTTGAATTCCCACTTCCTCGCGCCAAAACTGTGTGCAGATTTCCTACCCAAGTGCTGGGTTTGATAGTCATTTTTTCGGTAAAACCTGAACCTATGTAGACCTTGAAGAACTTTTCTTCTGAGCTTTTTCTGGCAAAAGGGAACTCTTTACCTTGTTCCATTGGAAAGACTTAACATTTATGGTTCAAATTCCCTTCCCCACCCAAAAAAGGTTTAAATTCACCACCCCCCCTGCACTGTTAGGAGAGTTGAGGTACAAATCTTGGAAATGAAAGGGAAGGGTTTAAGGTGATACTTGAAATCCTGGAAAAATCAATCTGAGTCCTAGAAAAGTCCTGAAATTTGTTTCTGAAAATGGGTACCAACCCGCTGAGCAATTGCTCAACTGAACTCCATCCTAAATCAATCTCTCTAGTACATACATGTAGCATGGCCATTTTGCTACTAGCAATTTGTAAGGCAAGGAGCAGCTCACACAATAGTCTACAAACATTAAATTACTCAAACAAAGCAAGCTTGTATTTGTACAGGTGTGAAATTAAGAAGCATATCACTCAGTATTGGTTGATGTTACCCCTATGACTCTCAGCTTATAGCTGATGTATTCCCTCCATGTTAAATAAACACAACAAGCTGACAAGAAAGCCTCTGTTTCTATCATGGTGAAGCTATTTTTGTTTTTGCTGTTTTTCAGCTGCAATGCCAAATTTTTATGGAAAAGAACACCAGATGAAATTAAACTGGTGAGTTATGTCAACTTTTTTCTTGTAATTACAGTAAATCTTGACAGATAATCAACATGAATGTAGATTTTCTTCTTGAAGGATTTACAAACAATTTGTATTAACATCAATAAGTAAGATTCAATCAAAATGTGAGAATAATTTAGCTTATCATAAATTACAATCAGTAATAGATCACAGATGACTGTAAAATATGATAAAAACGTAAATGTGGTGTATTAGCAGTGGATAAGTGTGCTAATGATATTAACTCTTACCACATTTTGATGCAGTCTGTGATCTGTTACTGAATAGTTGCAGGAGAACATGGAATCTGTTTGTTTTGTATGATGAAGAAAAATGGTGGTAATGGTGATGCCATTTATACCTGAATTTTTGTGAATGTACTCCAATAATCCATCAATAAGAACCAATTAAAATACCTGTATAATTTAGTTTATCATATAATATAATACAATATAATATGATCATAGTATAATGTGATTATCTTATAATATTGGTATTTTTGCTAAAGGGATGCTAGTTACATGCCACTTCACCCCACCCCCAACCCCTTCTAATAGTTTCTATTTTGCTTCCATGATATTCCATGACTACTCCTTGGGAGAGAGGGGCTCTTTGAGCATTATATGTATCACCCATTAACCCCCTATTTCACATTTCCTTGTAAATTAGTTATGAGAATTTAGTAACAAACCAAGATATCATCTTCTACCACATGAATTTTAGTATTATCCAAGAACATAACAATATTTCAGCCAGGAGTTAGATTTGCAGTTCAGCAAGTCAACTGTTAGGCTACAATGTCCACCACATAAGCGTTTTGTATATTTTTTCTTCTTTGGATAATGCATTTTTTTAATATTATTTATTTATTTATTTATCACCTTAAGTCAACTCCAGAGCTTGCAAAACTTTGGAATGTAGGATGTCATATCTGGAAAAGAGATTTTGTAGCAGTTTACAATGCTCTGAAAGAAGAATGGTCACCTTCTATCCAGCCAATCATTGCAGCATTAACAGGTGAGATTTAAATGCCTACCAGCAGCAAACTCTAAAATTTTTATGATTTTCTCCTTGTTACAAGTTATATGATTTGTTGTGTGCATTTTGTTTGTAAACAACAGAGGGAGAAGCAAAGAAAGTAATTCCATTGGAACTCTTTAATGACTCCATGAAACACTGATTTTTCATTGAAACTAAACAAAACTTGCCTGCAGCAATAAATCATGTCTGGTGTGGTCAGTTTTCGAGTTTCATTGAAATAAATGGCTCGAAATTCCAGAAAATATGAAGCAAAAAATTTTTTGATTTCTCAAAGTAAAGACTGCTACCAGCCATTAATTTGGCTTCCATTGAATGTGATTATGTACAAGAGCTTAAAAAAATGTTTTCATGAGCTTGCTATGGGATCTAGAGAAACTTTGCTAATTTACTAGTTTTAGCTTGTTTACTTGCAAGGAGAGACTGACTTTCATATGACTTGTGTAAAAGTGAGTTTTTGACTGAAAAAATGAGAAGAGCTTAACATGGTTTAGACTGCTGATTGTTGTTACACCTTTTTACCTTGAAGTTCACTCATATACCTATACGGATAATGTAATTAACCGATTACTTCCAACAAGTCCTAACCCTTTTTCTCCCAAGATTGGACTGTTAATTGTCCCCTCTTGCTGCCACATATTTCTTTGTAGATTAGTTACAAGAATTTGGTGTTAGATCAAGTTTAAAACTTCTATCTTATAAGTTTTGGTATTCTTATTACCTGTTTTCTGGATAAAGTGTGGATTATAGGAGAGAAGTTACATGTGAATAACTTTTGGGATTTCCATGTATGGGGTTAAGGCAATCAGATTACCCTCCTTGTTTGGTGATGGTGTCTAGTTCATGACATCTTGTATGTTTTTTTCAGAAAAACTTCAGAAAAGGACATTTGATTTAGTATCCAACGCATACACCTCTATCAGAGCAGAAGACTTGGCTAAACTAATGGGGATAACAAGGGAAGCTGCTTTGAGTGGTTGGTGTTGCAGTTTCACTGCATATATTTACAGTGTTATTCAGTCATCATTTGAAATGTTTAGATAAAAAGTGATGGTAACAGTGATCTTTAGGAAACAGTAAGTGAAAGAAAGTTGTGCATGTCTAAATAAAATTGTATTATTTTGCATTATGATCAGTTGCTTTAAAGAAAAAAAGTTTGTTTACAAACAAACATGCAAACAAAAACTGAGAAGAATTGATGAATGGAACATCATTAGTAAATTAACTAGTATTAATCATGGATTGAAAAAGTGTGTTCAATATAAATCAGGAATGGATTTTTGTTTCTGTGTAATAAAACCAATTGTATAATTAAACTTCTGAACATCATATAGTGGCTCACAGCTCTGATATTTAGTAACCCATTTTGTTTGATCAACTGCTTCCAATTCAACTACATGCACTTTATCTTCCCATGTGATCCAAACTGTAGAAAGTCTAGATACCCACATGAGATCGAGGCCATGTGTGTCAGTCAGTCCAAGATAGTGTAGAAAAGCTGAAGCTTTCTGGCTTCAGATCAATGCCTGCAGAAAGCAGAAACCTTGAATAGTATATGTTCTTCGTCAAAAGTAAATGATCAATTGATTAATACAGAAATCCATATGAAGGGAATTTATCGATAATTGATCATTGTTGAACAACGGTTTTGATAATAATAGTTATAATAACAATGATTATAACAGTTGATTCATATTATTCTTTTTTTTGTCTGATGACAATTTAGCAGCTGTTACCAGTGGATGGATTAGTGATCCAGCCACAGGAATGATCACTCCCAAGAAGACAGGTAGAGATACAAACTCAGACTTAAACATATTTGTAAATTTTATAATTCCCTTACCTTTTTTTTGTTATTCTCTACACTCTTATGACAGAGCAATGTTTAATTCAGTTGTGAAATGACATTCCTCTGAGCTGCGACCATTTTGGTTGCCATGGCATATTAAAAAAAATAGTTTGGGGGACAAGATCATCAGTGAAAGTCACCAATTAGGTGACCTGTGTTCTGCAGTCAAGTTTGTACATTTAACTAATTAGTCTTCTGTCTTCGCCTCTTTCTCCTCAGTGTGTAAGTCCTAAATTTTAAGTTGTTGCATGAATCTTCAACAATCATGGCAATCATGTTCAGATTCATGGTTGCTTGATAGTCACTTTGAAAAACCTTGAGTTTGGAGCACTCAATGAATCTTTGAATCCTGTGAGAGGTTCAAAAACACTTGTCAAATTTCAAAACTACAATCAATTGTGATATGTCAGTGCACCTTTTCAGGCAAAAAATTGAATAGGAGAATTAAAAGCATTTTTCATTCTTTGACTCCTTTTTCTTATTTTCTTTGTAGAGCTTCCACAGAAAGAGATTCCACTCACAAGTGAACAGGAACTTGCACTATTGACAGATTATGTGTCATTTTTAGAAAATTAACTTAAACTTGAAAAGCAGCGATACATTTTAAATATAACTTGTATCATCTGAGAACTAGCATTCTAAATGTAAATAACTTCATTAAGACCAAAGTTTGTTGTAGTTTACGGACTCAAAGATGACTTTGTATCCAGTAAGAAAATGTAGGCAACATGCTTACACATGAAGGTAGCAATTATGGCCTTGGTCACTGGAGAGTCTCTGTGTCTCAGTGTTAGAATGTGGGAGTGTGGGATTTGCAAAGACCAAAAACAGGAAAATGAAGATACACAAGAAGTCAGTCATACAACATAAGCCAACTGAATGATAGAAGAGTCTTAGGCAATCACCAATTTACAAAACAAACTAAATATGTGGGACACAAGCCACAAACTTTTTGCTATTACCAATTTACAACACTTGCTATCAACAATCACCAACAACATCAATGGCAATAATTTTTGGAGAAAAAAATTGGCCTGTCCAGGATCAATTACAAATAAAAATTGTGTTGGACTGTTGGGGTGAACTAACTCGAACACCACAAACAGACGGGAGGCACCAAGAGTCTGATCAAGAACTGATTTTTTTAACAGGCGACTGTTACTCTTTTCTTAATGACTCTTTCAGCCCAGGCCTTAGTACACTCTTTAAAATCCTATTGGTAGGCATGTGTGGGCTTACCAGACAAGTGACCTTGCCAGATTAAACGTATTTTTAGAACACCAACCCGAACGATTTCAACAGACTTTCGAAATCAGAGAACAACAAAATACTCGAGAAACAATTGACTTCAATAACTAAAAACCTAAACAAGATCTCCAGTGGAGCACTCTAAGCAAGGTGAATAGATAATCCTAAACATACTGTGTTTGGGATTGTCTGCTTGCGGACCTCCAGTGGCAATTATTGTCCGAGAACAAAGCCCCATCATGATGGTTCAGGTAAAATCACTTGGAAAGCGAAACTACATATATTGTGTGGTCCTCGAGATTATCTAACAGGCCCAAACAATTCCCAAATGCTTAACCAAAACATTTGTAATTTCAGCAGTTCATATAAATTTACACGAAGTGACGTTTGAAGAGTGTTCCACCTGTTGTCAGTTAATATAAAAAAAAAAAAAACGGAAAAAATGTATTCCCTCTATTAATTTAGCAGAATGTAAATTAGCCATTAGGTTTTTTCGGCATGGTGAGAACGCTGGACATTTTCATTAATTTCATTACTAGACAACAAATGTCAATTTTAACTAGATGCATAACTGCGTGAACTCTGGCTTACTTAGGGTGTGTCTAAATTAGCAATTTTTGTGGCGATTTTCAAAAATTTAATTAATTTTGTCCTACAGCTTTAGTTGAACATCTTATAAACTGAATTTTGTAATATCCTCCAGCGTTATGCAATTTTTGAATACTGTTGATGGCCGCAACAAGAGAAACAGTGCTATTTAGTTTTAGTATATTCAATTAGAGGCAGTTGACTCTCATTAAATAGCAAGAGGGAATAGATATATTTTGACCTTTTTGTGGGTTTAAAAATACATGTCATACAGAAAACTGAAAACCACATCAAAAACCCTGTGCATTCACTATTATTTCTTATAAGATTTTCGAGAAGTGATTTGCTGTCAACTGAATCAGACAATATTCCTTCACTGTAATCACTTTTAAGATCTAAACTTACTTCAGTTCCAC